AGAGTGTGGAATGCGATCACATTGTGAGGGCAGTATACAGATCGAATGCTGGCATCGTGTCGCACATTACATTCATGGCGAGGGAGAAGCCTGGGTGCGAAGAGCTTGTGGAATACCAAGCCAAAACCATTTGGAAGGTGTGGAATAAGGATGTTACTCATCTAATCTTCTGCAGAAAAGCTTCCGAAGCAAATGGTGGGTTCCATCCACTATGTTCCTGCATCGACCCTATGTTGTTTGTTTGAGTTTGACTGATGATCCCACTCTTACAATATGTACAGATGCAGCTAACAGACCAAGGAGACAGCGAAAGTACAGAAAATTCATCTGTTTGGTTTGAACGACAGATGGGATGTTTGCTAGGATCAAGACTGCTTCGATGATGATGGGTATTACTATTATTAACTTATGAACTTTTTGTTTTTGTTTTTGTATCAAGACCTCTTTTGTTTCCGTCTAGAGATTGTTAAGACCCTCTCTTCTAATGTCTACAAGAACGTTACATTTATCCCTTAGATTGATAAATTGCTCTGTACGTATCGTTTTTCTTTGATAGAAAAGTCTCCCCGTTGAATCCCTAAAGAAATCAATATATGGAGAAATTAATTCGATATACATTAATGAAACTATATATAAAAAAATTGATTATATTTTGAAATATCTGATTAGATGTTTTTCTTGACGCCATTCTTGTTCAAGGATAAAAAATTCTTGTGTCCTCTTCCTTCAAGTTTTGAATTTGATAGTTTCTTTTAATCCATTTTGTGTATGGATATTTGCATGTAATATAAATCTAACCCATATTATTGTTTCTTTGATGTTCAAGTAGAGCCTACAATACCAATTTCTCGTAGCCATGCATGCATTCTAATATATTTTTTTATTACAAAGTATCAAACATTCAATTGGATAAAACTGAAGTATATTTCAATGGGAGCAATTAGGTTCGTCTGTTTTGGTCTTTTGTTTGACGTAGACAAGACAAAGCCAACATCCGCTATTCCTCGTACGTATATACTCTCATACGTGTCTCTCTTTTTTTTACCCAAGGATATAAAAAATTTGTTATATATTTGAAATACATGATTGGAGGTTGTAACCTTCTTTTTTTTCAAACTCTTTACTTTCACATGCTTCAATGAGGTTTAAGACTACAAGTTTCCATGTCCTCTTTGTCCATCTTCTTTTTTCCTTTGGGCAATTTAATGTGCTTGACAAGTTCTTTCTATTCAAATTAAGTAGTAATCTGGCTATAACATCCGCCTTTCTTCATGATCAATGTGTTATATGGAAAGAGGAGAATAATAGTGTACAATGTTTTTTTTTCGGTCCCCTAGGACTATAGTCTATAAATCTAGTAAAATAATAATTAAACAAACAAATTCTTTTTTTTTGTTAAACAAACAAATTCTTGTTAACCTAACAAAATAAGTAGCGATAACTATATATTGTTTCAACCAAATGGCACAACAATTTTTAATTCTAAGCACGATAAATTTGGATGTTTTAATAGTTAAAGATGAGAGTAAGAAAAAAACAGGGTTTTTTTTTTGTGACGAAACAAATTATAAAAAAGGGTTTTATTTATGCGTTATTTTTAGTTGGTATTTTTGAACTTTTACATGTAATGTTCATTCAATTATAAATAGCTTTCTTTTTTAAGATGTTAAGAACGTATAGGGAAATTTGCAAAATTAAACTCTTTTCGGAATATTCAATGCTCCTCAATACCTATAATTATTATGGATTACATATATACGTACATTCTCTATAAACGCATAAATATATACTATCACTTCACTTGTACATTATATGGCTATATGCGTGCATTACCAGTAAATTTTGATTATATAATATCGGTATTCCATAATCCAGCGAAACTACCTGGTTCACCTCTGTCAACGTAAATTAATTATATAATTTTATAGAGTCAAATATCTTTTTAACAGAATGATTCGGGTATCCATGCATTCCCGTTTATGATCATTCTTTATTTATATGGACTCGTATATGGACCCAGGAATATTTTTTTAAAAATGATTATGTAAATAATGAAGAAGACAAATGTCACACAAGAAGTTAACAAGGTATAAAAAAATTCAATAGCATAAAAATGCATGCATGCATGAATTTTTAAAAATTATCATATAAAGACACGAATATTGATACCAACCACGGATTTGCAAATAATTCCCACATTCCAACATTGACAATAACGGCATATAAGTGGACAAGTTTTAACCTAATGACATAACCTCGAATCGTATAATTTTATAGAGATAAATATCTTTTTACAGAATTATTCGGATATCCATGCATTCCCGTTTATGATCATTTCTTTATTCATATAGACTCGTATCTGGACTCAAGAATATTATATAAAAAAATGATTATGTAAATGGCGGACTGACCTTATAAAGCGCAGACACCAAAATACCATTCAACTCGAAACATGACTGGAGCCTAAAACGTCGTCGTTTTCTTGTTTCTCCTAACCTTCCAGTTTGCTCAGAAGTTTAGCAGCACGGGGGGAGTTTTCAGACATCAACAATGTCGCCTTCTTTTGCTATGATAAAAGTGCCATATTTTGATATTTTATAATTTCGGTAGGAAAATGATTGGTTTAACTTCTTCTTCTTCTGTTTCGGGTAGGTAAAGAAAAGATTAAATCCCATGAAATTTTACTTAAATATAAGAGAAAATATTGGGTGAATTAGCAACATAATTTGCCCAGATCGGCAAACTAACCACAATTGATTTTTATTATTATTATTTTTTTAACTCAATTCGATAAGTATCAACTTGACTTTCATGCATAATGTAACAAAAATATATTAAAAAGATTTTATTAACTATTGTCTTTCCGCGAACATTACACATGACATGATGTATTAATGCATTTGGTCACGTTTAGATAAAAGTATCATGTTTGTATGTTGTAGCACAAATTGTCGTGGCGGCGATGTGTGCGAATTCCACAACATGATATTAAGAATAATTACAACACAAAATGAATACTTCACGATGTGATTTTGTAGTCGGAGACCCTTTAATTCAAAATAAAATCCAAGTCAACATTCCATCTATATTAAAAAAATGTGTGAAGGAGAAGGAGAAGAACATAGTTGGGTTTTGTCTTAACTTGATGATCCAAATCAATTATATGCTTATTACATGAATGAAAATTTGCTTACACATGTCCGTTATTTATTACAGTTTAATATTTCTGTTTTTTCTAACAAATATATTACATCATCCTTATCTTTTTCGATACAAACAATTTGTTTTTCCGGAATTGTTTGAAAAGCTAAAGTTTCAGAAAATAAAAGATATGCGAATAAAATGGTTGATATTAGTTTTCAAAATGAATTAAAATGTGAAACAGTAGTGATTTCAAAAAAAGTTACAAGAGATTCTTGACGAAAAAAAGGGTATGGAGACACAAGGTCAAACGTATACGTTTATACTTTGACCACACACGACTCATTGTTTTATCGTATTCCTATGTCGTGTCGTGTCTGTTCTTAACCCATCATGAAGAACCGTGAGCTGTTTTTCTGTCGTGACGAAAATACCCTCTGACCATTCTCTTCTTCTTCTTCTTCTTGTGCCATCGCTTCTGGTTCATATCCCCACGGGTGTTACTATTTCACAGTTACCCATACCCTCTGACCATTCTCTTCTTCTTCTTCTTCTTGTGCCATCGCTTCTGGTTCATATACCCACGGGGTGTTACTATTTCACAGTTACCCATCTCTCATTTTCTGACAACCTTCCAAACCCAGATAGAAATTTCCTATCTTTTTTACTCTATCTTCTGTTTTTTTTTTCACTCTGTTTCATTTTTTAGGGTTTAAAGGAAGAAGCAAGAAATGGGTATGGGGACAAGCACTTTCGTCATCAGATGGGTCAATCTTCTTACAATGGTGAGCTTACTCGTTCTTCTTCTGGGCTTAGTTTCTGTTTCCCGCATTGCTTTTGCCTTTTTATCGCCTCATTTGCGTTGCTTGTTGTCTGGAAAACGTGCCTACTTCACTCTGCTCTTGTTCAACTGTGCCTCATTGATTCTGTTTAGGGTATTTGATCCATTGATTGGTTTGTTCATTTTGATCCTTAGTTTACACAAAATAAATCATATTTTGGGGATTTTTTCATTGCCCAATTCCTTCACTATGCCGTTGAATTGAAAATTTTCGTGATTGTATTGTTTCGCTTCATTATGAGTAGCAATGCATTATTCTATATGTATTGTATTGGTATGGGAAATCCTCAGAAAAAAAAAGCAGTGAACTTTGTACAAAATTTCAGTCAAAGAAAATTTTTGTTGCAAGTAACTCAACCCTAAACATTGTTTCTTCCAAAACATAGCAATAACCAGCATTGTTGAAGTTGAAGAGTTCAGTAATTTCTATTGTATGTTACCGTACAAATATATACATATACACAAGCATATATAAGTTTTGCTTACATCTCTCCGTCTCACTGAGGATTTCGCTGTGCAGCTCTTGGCTGTGGCAGTTGTAATCTTTGGAGTATGGTTGAGTACTCATAACGATGGATGCAGAAGGTCCCTCACAATGCCGGTCTTAGCACTCGGTGCCTTCATTTTTGTAATGTGTGTTCCATTTTTTCTGAGTGTTCATTACATTTTTTTTGTTATCGTCCTTATTATACAATAAATCATTTCTATCGATGTTTTCAGATCCATTATCGGGTTTCTTGGAGCGTATAAAAGAAGCACGGTGCTTCTTTGGATTGTATCCTTTTCTCTGATCTGTTTTTTTCCGTGCCATAGATATAGTTTGTTGTTTCGTTTTGTAAAAGAAAAATTTGATTCCTTGACATAATCCTTTGAAGTATCTTGTTGTACTCTTGATCATTTTGATTGCAATCCTCGTCTTCACTGTATTGGCGTAAGTACTGCTTCTCCGGATTATTTCTCGAAGAATTAATTCTGTTTTCTTGTGAAGAGTTTTCAGTGTTTGTTCTCTTGATTCTCAGGTATGATTTTCTTTGGGATTTTACAGGTTCATTGTTACAAACAATGGATCCGGACATGCTAACCCTGGTTTGAGGTAGACGCTTAAAGGTTAATTTGGATTTCAGTTTTTTGAAATCTGTCGTTTTTCAGTCTTTCTCTATTCATCGACCTATATTTAGGCATGTATTTAACTAGATATACATACATACATGGACGCTTTATAAACTTTCAGATACAAGGAATATCACCTCAAGGACTACAGCTCGTGGTTTCTGAAACAGGTACCATGATTTAGAATACATACGAAAAACACCTTCTGTAATTCTCGTAGGTATAACTAAGTTCAGTTCTTCCATGTTTCAGCTTAACAACACCAGTAACTGGAAAAGACTAAAGAGTTGTCTGGTGAAATCCGAGGATTGTGCTAACCTCTCGAGAAAATACAAGGTTTTATACTTTCTTACCACCCGAGAACTAAACTGCCTTATTTATTTGTGTCATTATGTTTGATCTTTCTTCGGGCTCCAGTCATTGAGACAGTTGAAATCAGCAGAGTTAACCCCGATAGAAGCTGGTTGTTGCCAACCACCATCTGAGTATGTTTCTCCTATGATGTTTTTTTTCTTCTGTTTTCTAAGTTTCACAAATATTTTTCCAATGATAAATTTTCCGTGCCTGCAGGTGTGGTTATCCTGCGGTGAATGCTTCATACTACGACTTGAGCTTTCATCCGATAAGTTCCAACAAAGACTGCAAGCTTTACAAGAATTCCCGGGCCATCAAGTGTTACAATTGTGATTCTTGCAAGTAGTTTACCTCTTCCCCTTTTAACTTCTCGTATCGTTCCTGTGGCATAATCTGTCGATATAAACATTCGTTTGATGGGAACTAACTACAGGGCCGGAGTGGCTCAGTACATGAAAACCGAGTGGAGACTGGTCGCAATCTTCAACGTGGTTCTGTTCGTCGTCTTGGTAAGACGTTAACAGCTCGATACCTTTGAACTTGTTTCATCAGTCTAGACAACGAAAAATTATAAGGGTAATATAGTAATTCACGGTTAAATTCCGGCTATATTATACGCATAATTACTATATTACCACCATATAAAAAGAACTGAAGCTTTCTTAGAGCCACCAATGGAGTTCTGAAACGTTTGATGCTCTGTTTCTTCATGACAGTTCATGAAAGCTGTTAACTTTCTGATGTTAAATTGTCCGAGAATCTGATCGTTGTTTTGTCTGTGATGGTCAGTCGATGGTTTACTTCGTCGGGTGTTGCGCGAGAAGGAACGCTGCTAATTACCGTTCTAAAGATTAGAAAAGAGAGAACGGTAATCTCGCCGGAGAAATATTCCGGCACATCTCCGGCAATGTGTTCAAGACAGTGACGAGAGCATTTGCAAGATCAGATCTTTTTGTAAGAAGCAAAGCGCTCCCCTAGTGAAACAATGAAGACTCTATTGAACATGGTTAACCGGTTCGGATTGTGAACCAATTGAATTGAGCATTTGACATTTGGTTGAGCCGTATTTTTTTGCTCTCGTGATAACTATATATTTTTACCATAATTTAAAGTTACATATAGCATATTGTCTACGCTGAAATTCATTAAGAAATATATCAAAGTGGAATTCACACAAAGACAATGAATTTTGAGACGTTAGAAACATGGGTGGGAAAAATAGGAAAAAAATGTATAGTTTATGGGTTTACTTGAATTAAAACTAATATCAACCATTTTCAAAGTAAATTTGATTCAAATTATTTAATTCTATGAACTGTCTTAATGTTTTGAATTACATTTTTTTTTAATTTTATAAAAAACTCTAAAAATGCTAAAATTCTAAGTTACTTTATTTTTCTAAAAAAATTTTACTGAGCCATTATTATTTGAAACATTTAGTGAAATTTAAAAAATGTTCTAATAATTCCGGAAAGATGAGAAAAACCCGAATAATTTTAAAATAAACCCAGTAAATGGTTAAAAGCCTAAAAACCCTTGCCCCAGGTTCTTTGCCTGTTAAACCCTTCGCCTCTCAGGCAAGACCCTTGTCGGAATCTTCGCTTAAACCCTAGAAATTCACCGAAATGTTCTCAACGATTCTCCGGAAACAATCTGACTCCGTCTCGGATCTTCTATGGACCCGAATCATTGCCCGAAACATGGGCGGCGGTCCGAGAACCTTCCCGGGCGGGATCAACAAGTGGCAATGGAAGCGTCTTCACGAGAAGAAAGCTAGAGAGAAGGAGAAAAAGCTGCTTGAGCATGAGAAACAGCTATACGAGGCTAGGATTCGGTCCGAGATTCGGGCAAAGCTCTGGGGGAAACCCGAATCCGGTGAATCTACTGCCAATTCGGGTCAGAGTTACGGACCCATTAGTCCAAAAGAGCATATCAAGGGCTTGGCTGATCGGTTCATGAAGCCTGGAGCGGAGGACTTGTGGAACGAGGACGATGGTCCGGTGAAATCCGATGAAGGGTCGAGATTTTCTCCGCGGGTCAATGGGCGATCAAGTCCAAATGATTCTTCGCCTGGTGACGTGAGAAAACTGTTTTATGAGAACCGTGCTTCGGTAGATAATCTCCGAACTGCGAATTTTGGTAGTGTTAATGGTAGTAGTTTGATCAAGAGTAGGAATTTTTCTGCGATGAGTAGAGGTAAATTTAGGAGAAATGAGAGTTCTTGTGATGAAGATGACTCTAATGTTGAATCAAAGGTGAACACGGTAAGCCCTTTTTCTCGTAAATTCGCCGGTAACAAGGAGAAAGTGAATTCGAGGAACATTAGTGAACTCGTAAGGAACAAGGGTTTGTCTGGTCGGAGAAGGTTCTTTAAGAATGATAGTTCAACTAGTGAGGAGGACTCGGATTTTGATCCCAACGACGAGGAGGGGGAGCAAAAGATGAAAGGGTGGAGGGATGTGAGAAAGACAGGAAGCAGTGCATCTTTGGGAAACTATGATGTGAAACTGACAAAAAGAGTGCATCTACGAGGCTCCGAGGAAGACTTTGATCCTCCAATGGACATTGAATGTATCAGAGAGGATCTTAGGAAGAGAAAGTCTGTGGAAAATCAAATCGGGCAACAAGAACCAGAATCAATTTACAGTGAGAAGAGGTATATAGAGGCTGTTGAAAAGTAGAACATTCTCTCTAAGGCTTTTCATTAGTCAAAGATTCAATTTTTGGTGCATCCTTATCTGAAGATGTCTTGATTCATTCCAAACTGCAGATTCAGTGAATGCAGTATATCTCCTTTGACGCTAAAGGCAATTTCGGCATCTGGAATTGTTAAGATGACCAGAGTACAGGATGCCACTCTATCTGAGTGCCTTGACGGTATGTTTACTTGCTTTGTTATGTCGTGTATGTTGATACCTGTCATTGATGTTTGGTGTGCCTTTGTTTAGTTCAATACATGAAGAAAATATGATCCCTTATCCTACTTCTTTTCCAATGTTGTGTTCCTTTTATTGTTTAATCTTGGTTATCTAGCCTTCCTATTGTAGGAATCCTTCCTTACTTTTGTATTGATGATTAGAAAGGATAATCCTGGTGCTTTGGTAGTAACAAGGATACTCCTGATGCAGGCAAAGATGTTTTGGTCAAAGCCAAAACCGGCACAGGAAAAAGCATGGCCTTTTTGGTACTTCACGAGACCCTCATATCATCACATGGAAATTAATACATGCCATTAGCTTTCTTGCTTGTAGATGATGTTGTTAAATGAAAACAGCTTCCTGCAATTGAAACAGCTCTGAAGGCTATGAATTGTGATAGTGTTCAGAGGGTTCCTCCGGTTTATGTTCTTGTCCTCTGTCCCACGAGAGAACTTGCTAGCCAGCTCGCCGCAGAAGCTAAGGCTTTGCTCAAGTACCATGATGGAATCGGAGTTCAGATGCTAGTTGGAGGTACCCGCTTCAAACTTGATCAGCAGCGTCTAGAATCTGAACCCTGCCAGGTTTGCCTTAATCCCATATGTCACTTGCAGTTTGAAACATGCCCAGGACTCCATGTGTTGGAGAAGTATGATGACAAGTACCACAGAAATTGTGCAACTTACATAACCAAATGTCGAGAAAAGCCATGAATGTTGATAAATATATTATGTAATGCCCTACCTAGAACCACAAACTAGGGGCTTCAATGTCAGGATTTTGGTTGTTTCTGGATTTAGGGGCTGAAATCCTTGAAACCATGATTATGACCTGAAATGGAAAAATCCATAATTTTTTGTTCTGGGTTTGGAAGTTTATTTCAAAGTTTACAGTGCTTGAAAACTTCAGATATCTTTCTGTATCATCCAACAATTTAGTTTTTTTTTCTCAACGATTATCTCTACTGGGTATAGGAAGAATGTCTAATGTTTGTTTGTGCTATGATTCTCACTTTGCATGAAACGTGTATTTGGAAGTGCTAATCTTATTTCTTCCTGGTCTTTCTGCAGATTCTAATTGCAACACCTGGCAGACTGTTGGATCACATAGAGAATAAGTCTGGCCTCACCGTGCGTTTGATGGCACTGAAAATGTTTATACTAGATGAGGCTGATCTCTTGCTAGACCTAGGATTCCGGAGAGATGTGGAAAAAATTGTGGACTGTTTGCCTCGACAGAGGCAATCTCTTCTCTTTTCTGCAACCATTCCAAAAGAGGTACGGATATTATACATAAATGCTTTTAACTTCTGTGTACATATATGCTATCCCCATCCGATGGATAAAAAATAGGGGGTTTTAGGATTATAATGCAGAAGATGAGTAAAAGTAAGGGGTTTTATACTGAATTTGGTTGGATAATGCAGGTCCGTCGTGTATCTCAGCTTGTTCTGAAGAGGGATCACTCTTACATCGACACAGTTGGCGTTGGTTGTGTAGAGACACATGAGAAGGTAAACTTAAACTCTGGTTTATTTGTTATTTTGCTTCTCGTGAACTTATAATCATCAATTCTGATTGTCAAAAGACAAAACTGCAACATCACAATTTCTGTGTTGTGTCAAACTCATTTCTAAAGAACTTCAACTCATATCTGGTCTCTATCGGTTCCCTCCAAATTTCGAAGAGGAAATTTCATGATTTCGATGACTTAACCTTGGTCCATGAACAATTGGTTTGCTTCAGGTTAAGCAATCTTGTCTCGTTGCATCACACGAGTTGCATTTCCATGTGGTACACCAGTTGCTGAAAGAGCATATTGCTAAAACACCCGATTACAAGGTAAAAATGTTCATTGACATGGTTTTACCTTGGCCTTTGGCAACCTTATGCTGTCTTGTTTCTAAAAGCTTCCAACTTTGTCGTAGATCATAGTGTTCTGTTCTACCGGAATGGTTACATCATTGATGTACATGCTGCTCCGGGAAATGAAAATGAACGTTAGAGAGATCCACGCGAGGAAAACACAGCTCTTCAGAACTCGTGTTTCCGATGAGTTCAAGGATGCAAAAAGGCTGATCCTTGTCACATCTGATGTATCTGCTCGTGGAATGAATTATCCCAATGTTACTTTGGTTGTCCAGGTAAACAAACATACACGCGCACATGCTTGGGTAAAATCTCGACAGGGCGAAAATTAGGGAAAGGGTCTTTTCTAGGCAATGTAGGGTTATCGGGATTGTCATCAATAATAAGAGTTTAAGATATAGTTTTGATGTTGTATATTGGTTAGGTCGGAATACCAACTGATCGGGAACAATATATCCATCGACTTGGAAGAACTGGAAGAGAAGGCAAAGAAGGAGAAGGTGTGTTGTTGATTGCGCCATGGGAAAGATACTTTCTTGATGAATTGAAAGATTTGCCTCTCGAGCGACTTCCTGTTCCAGATCTTGAATCAGAAGTTAAACTTCAGGTGCACACTGTAACCTTCTTCTGCTTGAATTTCATGTCGAGTGAAAATGGAAATGCACGAACGAAGATAACGTTGTTTCGGTTTCTGATGGCCGGTGATGAATCTTGAAGCTTGAGATTTATTTGCGTGATTTGTGATGCATCATGTTTGATTATGATTGGCGATGAATGTTGATGCATGATGGGTGATTCATGTTTATGATTATGATGCAATCAATGTGCGTGATGCATGATTATGTGCTACACTTGATTATGGCAAATACTGTGGTGTGCATGATACATCATGCGTTTTGGATTATAAGTGATTCATGGCTGATGCACCATGCATGACAAATGGTGACACTTTGATGATGCGTCATGATTATAATGATCTGGGCGTGCTTCATGACCACGGCGATTAGATGTCGTTGCATATGATGCTTATTGTATGGCATATTTGATGCGATGCATCATTAGTCATGACCGACTGCATAGGACGCATACACCTGATGGTCATGATGGTTGAATTCTCTCTTGACATTGTTTCTTGTAACGCAAGTAACCTCCGGTTTACCACTCTTAACCAGGTCGATGATTCAATGGCCAAGATTGATACCAGCGTGAAAGAAGCGGCATACCATGCTTGGCTCGGTTATTACAACTCCATTCGCGAAACCGGTCGAGACAAGACCACATTGGCCGAGTTAGCTAACCAATTTTGTCGGTCCATCGGTTTACAAAAACCGCCTGCATTGTTCCGGAGAACCGCTGTGAAAATGGGTCTCAAGGGTGTACCCGGTATTCCCATCCGCAAGTAAACCGGCTTCTTTAGTAAACCGAACTGGTTTTGTTTTGGTTTAATTTAACACCCATGTTTGTGATGCAACGTATATCAACATTGATTTTGAAGATGGGTCCATGTGTAATAAACAATTTGGATTATATTTAATGTTATTTAATTGATGGTCAAATTAATGTTTCATTTCGTATGTGTATATGGACCAATAGTTTTGAGTATGGCAAATTGCAATTTAGATTATTTTTATGATAGACTGAATGCAAAGTCTAACTGCAAAAAGGATTAAAAAGCCTTGTCCAAATTTACCAATCGTGTTTTATATAAACACGTATATATATATATATATGTATGTATACATACAAGTATATGGGCCGCGTCTGTGTGTTTGTATTTAGTGACGAAATGTGGAAAAAATAAAGACTTCCTAAATGTTGTAGTGCGGTCTTCGTGAATACACGTTTGTGGTAGGCATCCATTTAATGGTCACTTTTAATTAATACGTAGTTAATTTTCTCTAACACATTCCACCAAAAATGTTTTAAAACTTTAATAAATAGACGCATGAAATTGGCAGTGAGGCATACCATAATCAGATTGCACATACGAATAGTTTATTAAAAATATGCATGTGTATATATATATATATATAGAGATGTCATGCAAATGAAATGAGATTGCTACATTACAGAATCATAAAACAAGATTAAAGTATATAAACATTTATAACATTGATGTATCAAAGCGTATACACATATACTTAATTTATTAAAAAAATGGTTACGTTACGTCCATATAATCTGATTGTTCCAATTTGAATAATAAGAAGAGAGTCAACGCCATGATCAAGGCCGTCCAATCCATTGACGGAAAACGTGTGCTTCGCGCGACTACTCCAATTTAAATGAAATTACATAATTACCCCTTAGTATTGTTTCTTGGGTACGGAAACGTCAACTCTTCCGCTCCTCTTTTTACAAAGAAAACGCGATTATATTATATATACACACACGTTATATATGTACGTTCACATCATTAAATGAATCTACACATATTTTATACGTTTGTACGTGTATATGAATGCAACCTTTCTTACGCGAAAAGGGTATCTCCGTCATTACACACTAACAAACAATATTTTAGTTACGCGAGTTTTTGTTTGTTTCCCCATCGGCCCAAAGTCCTTGCATCGACCCCCTCATTAATATAAATCAAACCCTAAAACTTATATTATAACCCAAAAGAATAAAACCAAAGAAGAAAAAATGAAATATTCAAGCCAAAGAACTTTGTTTCTCATCTTCTTGATCTTCCTCTTCGCCGTGATCTGTATCTCCGATGGTCGGAATCTCCGTCCCGACAAATCAGCTTCAAGGGAAAAACAAGAAGAATCGGAAGTGTGGGTGAAGGAACCGAAGCGGACGATGACGGCGGACTTCTACAGAGATTTCCGGCGAACCCCCACCGGAGCCACCGTGAGAATCTTAACCGGTCAGAAACCGGACCCGGTTTACGGAGTTTCCGGCAGAGAAGTTCCCGCCGGTCCAAACCCTCTTCACAACCGATGAAATAGTATCTTATTATTGTTTTGTTAAATTTAAAAAAATTGTTATAATGTGTATTTGATGTTCGTATATAGATATGCATTGATAAATTGATATATGTTTGGAGAGTTTTTATATTTTATCAAGTACGTACATCTCTGGCTGTGTTTGAAAGAGAGCTGAGATCGGAGAAACAAAAGGGATCACGCGATTTTATTTTTATTTTTTTTGTTGGGTTGTACTTAATGTATTATGATTATTGCTATAAATCTCTATCATGTTAGTTGCGAGAGTCTACAAATTTTATTACTATTATTATTTTGTCTAATCGATTTATTACCCTATTTTTAGTCTTCTTATTTACGTACAATTTAATGATAATGTGATAGTTATGAACGTAGGGACCGTTTGTTTGACCATTTTTTTTAAGTCCAAGATGTTACATGATATATCGACACAGATATCAAATATTTATTCATACAAGTAACCGTAAACGCATATATGACATGGATATAGTATATATATCATACTGATAATTGAAACGCTCTTTTTGGTATTTATAGACAATTTTGTATCACTGATATATATATTATGCTAAATCTTTTTAATGATGGACATATTTCAAACATTCTTGACTGCGCAGTTGAAAACAAATCGTATTAATTTAATCGACTTCTTACAAATTGTTCTACTTAACCCTAGCGGATTAATGTGTGATTATATAATATCAATATATCATAATTTTATCTTATTGATTTATTATTCTATCCACATGCAACTCTGAATCATTTAGTAATACTTAAATTTATATTTCATAAAGATTTAATGTGTATCTAAAGGATCTACAACGTAAGATATACTTACACATATTGCAAGATCCAATCCAAAATTCTAATTATATTATCTAAGATTAAAATACTCTAATTTCAAATCAGTATTGTGTTGGTTCTGACATTATATGTTGTTATAAATGGCTAATATTTAATTGTCTTCATCAATTATAATCAAATCAATGTTTTTTATCAATGCATGTAGAGGGATAATAAAAATTATTTGCATGCTTAGCGTTTTCTTTCCCGGGAGTCAAAATAAGAGGGATAATGAAATTATTTGTATATTATAGAATATTATTCATGGCTGACATCACAATTTCCGTAATTGTCTGATCGTATATTTTTTACACCAAATATTATCGAATTAGATCTTGATATTTTTTATCCGATCGTTGTTGAACATTTCAATTTAGTTTTATGACATAACTAGTATAATGGCATGTTGATAACTCTTCTAATGCAACAGTAATCTTGAAATCTATAACATTATGGGACCCCACGAAGAAGTTTTGCTACAATAAATATTAAAAATATATACTTATAGACAGTATTATAATTTCGTTTCGTACAAGTTTTAACCTCTAGGTGTGATGAGACACTAATTGATAGACAAACGTTGAAATTGCACAAAGACAAGCTAATTAATAGACCCAATCAGAAGTTAAATTTATAGAATTTGAGTGTTAGAAAATGCTTAGGAAAATTTCATATAATGAAATAATTTGTAGCCTTTTTTCTTGTTACTGTAATTGCAATATATGTATCATTTTTCACTCTATTAATTTCGATTTTGCAGATATTTTTCCAATATTAATATGCAAAAGATAGAATCGGATTATATTGTAAGTTAAGGAGACGACAAGAGAATTTCCGTTATTATACGTATGTATTAATATTTCGACGAATGTCACTGTTCATGTCTATGAAATATAAAAGAGTGATTCTAAGATATTTGGGTTATATTTTTTAACAAAATATAGTTACTCGCCAATATGATAATATTCTAAACATTAGGGTTCTAGTTGAGATTAAAATATTTTGTAGGGGTCAACAAGTAAACGTTTAGGACATGGTGTGACACGTGTCCTCGAATGCCAACGTGACGTTATAATTCCGAAGTTGCAATCGCTCAGCCAGTGAGTGGCGAGACTGTGGAGAATCATTGATCGCCGGAGAAATTCAACTTCCGGCATGCTGCGTCAGCTTCCGCCGACAATTACGGCGGATAAGTCGCCGGACTGGCTTCCCGCCGGTTGGATCGCTCAATCTACTGTGCTTAAAAGCGGCCGCGAAGTTAGGGTACCGATTTCCTGTTCTCTTGAGTCCATTCGCTTCTTTGTCTGCGATTCCTCAGCTTTGATACTAAAATTAGTCCTTTCAGTTTTTAACCAAATTTTTTAGAATCCATAATCAATTGAGAAAATCGACGATTAATTCGCGTATGTAGTAGTGTATATGGGTTTATATGTGTGTTTACTCATGAACATATATATAATTGATGTACATTGCATGTGCATGTGTAGACATTGGACTTCAGATTTATCATTTTGCTATACAGATAATGGATTTCAAATGTATGTTCATCCAAATGTATACGCGTTTTTGGATGATATGGTCAATGTGTTTTGTGTATGTACTCTGAAAATTCAAGTTCCTTGGTTGCAAGCTGAAGTTATATGCTGATCAAATTTCTTGTTCCTTTGCAGTCTTACACGCATTTGAACACATGTCAAAGGTTCTCTAGCAAGGATGATGTTCTTCAATACATTGAAATGGAGAAAATTCGTGAGATTCGATACTCAGAAACTGAGAGGGAGAAAGTGAGGACCTCTTCCATTTTTGTTATAATTTGTTCTTCTTGGCTGTAATCTTATCGATTCTTCTATCTTACAGAATTGTGGCATGACAATTCAAAATCCTGGGTGGCTTCCAGATCATTGGGTAATGGAGGAAAGAAAAGGATCTAGCGGAAATGTCTACAAGGTATTATACAGTTCCTATTCATAAAGAGCCATTTCCTTTGTCAGAAATGTGGATATATTGATGTTCTTACTTTTGCTTCAACTTGTATATATCTCCTTCCTGCAGGTTTACACTAACCTTTCAACCGGATATAAATGCTATACCAAACGAGCTGTACAACGATGCCTTGGATATGCCGAGCAAGAAAGTGGTGAGCAGAAAGAGGTATATGCCTTGAGAGATCTCTTGACACACCTTACGTTCTCGTTTCAAGACTATCCTCTGCTCATATTTGCTACGCGTGCAAGATGTGTAAAGAGATTGAAGTCTAACATGATTTTTGTTCCAAGCAAAAAACCCCGATCACAAAAATAGGAGCAGATATCTGATGAACAAAACGATTTCTTGTGGGTGGATTCTCAATGAAATCTTGATAACTCGATGATTATAAGTCTCCGACATAGACTTCCTTAATAACACACGCTTTATGGTTGTTGTTGTGTATACTTGTATTCTTTCTCTTGGAATTTCCCTAAGTGTCATATATCTCAATCATAATTTCTGTCTTTATAGTTAATGTTGACAACAAATGATAAACCAGAATGGCTGCCACAGAATTGGATAATGGAGGTGAGAACCACCAAAAGTGGGAAACACAAGGTATGGAAATATGGCTGCTTCATATACATGGAGCAAGTATTTACCACCTTTCCTGATCATTGGCCTTCGAAAGGATTATGCATGTATAAAATTATAAGCCAAATAGTGAACGTAGGCTGGATTGGTGTTGCTTATTTGATCTTTATTTACTATATTGTTGCTTTGAGCTGCTAAAACCTATCTGATACTACTCGAATAGTTTCTCAGAGAAATGATTTGTGATTGAATCAAACCAAATAGCAAACAATACCCTAAATCATGGAATTATAATAAACATACTTTTTTCTGTCTTTTGTCTTTGTTTCCTGTCATAGATTTACATCGATATGGTGAGCGGGTGTAAATGCCATTCGAAGGCAGACGTAATTCGGTTTCTTGATTCTCTAAAACTTGAAGCTTCAACAAAAGAATTGGAGGACAGAGGGACCAATGAAGACATTGTAAGAAACATTTGTCATATGTCAAAGTAGAAGTTTCTTTCTTTTTTTCTCCCTGGTCTTACTAAGAGAAAAGCTAAAAGTCATTTGACATAGGAATCTCTTCTCATGTGAATTATCTTCTTTCTTCTTCTTCTTCTTTTTTCTCTCCCTATTTTACTTTCTTATCCTGATTCCTGTTTGGTTAAGTATGGACACCGTGGAGAGTTACCTGCCTATCCAAAGATGAAGCTGAGAACAAGAAAGAGAGGGTTAACCAAGGGAAAACAGATTGAGGTACAAGTTTCTGATTCAACATCTCGCCTCAGATGGTTTTGCTTGTAAATTCTTTCTTTTTTCAATTACTTTTCTTAACCGTTAGTTTAACAAAGTAGGATAATCTAGTTTCTTCTTCAGATGAGTTGGGTTCCTCATCAACATATGCTGAATGAATATGCATGTATTTATTTTAGCCACCATCGCCACCAGCAAGAAGGCAGAAACTGCGGTCCTGTGGAACAAGGCGGCAACTGTTTGTGGGTAAGGGGAGAAAAAAAAAACAAGGGTCTTACAAGAATTGATTGGTAATGATCCCATTGCTTGCTCTAATGACATAATCATTGCTGCAGATGACGATACCAACTGTTTTGGTGAGGATGCACTACCAGAAGCAGAAGCCTTAACAGATGCAAACCATAATGAGACAGATTCTTTAGAAGCGGAACTGTTTGTATCTCCCTTAGCTGTCGGTCATGCAGAGGAAGATCTACATGATGTCGTGGTTCAGTTTGATGATCTGACAAAGGAAAGCTTAGGTATGACTGTTTCATCTCTGTCTGAAATCAACGTGGGGTGTCAAGGTGGTTTGCCAGAGAAGGATCTGAATGAATGTAGGATTGAAGAAATAGGTGCGACAAGCATTGAGATGCCTTCAACTGATCCTAAAGTTGGTAAAGACGGTCTATTGATGAGTGGAAGTGAATCAGCTGAGGATGAAACATATCAGGAGTCTGGATGTAAGAGCAAAGAGCCTCTTAAAGAGCAAGCCCTTCAAGGAGTGAAACCGTGTCCAGAGGAAATAACAAAAGTGTCAAGCCGATTGCTTTTCTTTCCTTTCAGGGATGCATCTACAGATGCAGATCATGCACCTGCTCTCGACACTTCTACTGCTACATTATCTGCAGACGATCTCGGCAAAACCATTGAGCTTACTAAAGCATCATGCCCTGATAACCCAGGACGGAAGAATATCCGTATTAGTAGAATGCAAAATAAGAGCATCCGAACAAGTTTGCCCAAGAAAAAGGATAAAGACCACCAAATACCTTTTGGGTCAACTGAACAACATGAGAAAGCAGAGACACCCAGTAAACTGCGAGGCGAAAGAAGCAAAAAGGCAAGCATGAGTGCATCAGTGGAGCAACGTCTGGGTCTATACGGATCTTGGCAGGAAACGCATGATTTTGCCTGTAAAAATTCGCCAAGAATTGGTATGTCGGCAATAGCAGGGTCTTCAAGGAACAGCAGAAGATCTGCAAGACAATTAATGGGTCATTGGCCGGACCTATGCCCGGAATTTGTATTTGAGACCCTCACCAGTGCAACCCGAAAAGAGGATGACTCAGTAGTCCGGATATACTTGGAAGAACAACATGTTACTGCTGCAGGAAACACTGATGGTAATCTCCCTTTACCCGATTTTGGATTGCCTAGCTTTGCTCATCAACCTGATTGGCATAACTAAAGAGCTTTTGCCAAGTCCCAGTGGATATTGGCTTTTTAATTCAACCTACACTCTGAATCCAAGCTTTAGCTAGTTGCAGGAGACCAAGATCCTTCTGACTTGTGTTCTTTTGGTAGCTGTTCATATATGAGACTCTTAACGAATCAGAGTCTTTGGGATTGTGAACACAGCCCGTGTTGCAATCCATGTGGCCGTGAGCATATTTGTAAGAAAACGAGTTTTGTATATATGTAAGAAAAATCAGCGGCCCACTTTTACGAGTTTATGTAAGAAAATGCATGAAACACAGAAAGTTTGATGTTTTAGAAACTTGAGACACAAGAAACGCTGAATGTTCATTCAAAGCCCACACCCAAATCAGACTTGCAACAATTAAGACGAGTTTTCCCGATAATTAAAAAAAAAAGAGTCCAAATCAGGGCTGAACGCAAAGACAGCATTCTCTCAACAAAAACCAAACTCGTTCACTTCCTCAACGAAGAGATTTCTGTGGATGTCTTAGTATGATGCTTCAGAATGCTTCCACCCTCCATAGGACTCCTCGAAATCCAAGCTACGAGTTTCCTGACAATTAACACACCATTCTTCTTCAGTACTTTCAAGGGCTGACTGAAATCAAGAACTGTGATGATTGATTACCTCGGGGGTGAAACTGAGGCCGACCCAAATCTCTCCTTTGTATTCTTCTTCTTTGACCACATTGTACGCTATTGGCGCTATTTTTCCTTCGATGAAAACCGGCTCCAACGGTATTCTGCATTGTTTGTTTCAAACGACAATGGCTCTGAGACTTTTCGACAGATAAGAGCCTATAGATATGCAGCAGAGGAAGTGTATAAAAAAAAAGGATTTATGATGTTCTGAAAGCTTACGTTGCTTCACCAACAAAGTCATCCTCGGTGAACGTATCCTTGTCCAAGATTTTCATTCTCAGCTCTGAAGTTCCTTCGGTAACAGTGAACATGAATGTCTCGTTCCATTCCGGATCCGAACCCTGTCCTGAAAAGATCACATCAAAATTTGGTTTTGCTTCTCAGTTCACGAAACAAAAAGGGATCTTTCTATTGCAGATGACACTTTAAGCACTAGCAGGAGGATAATTTCTTGATCTTGAATCCAAATCACTCACCTGACGCAACACTGCTCTTCTGATCTTGAGTTCGGCAAGTGATAACCACATAAGGGTCCATGTTATCTGAAAATGTTGGGAATCGAAACTCAAGTCAGAACAGGTGCATGCATAAATGCACAAACCTCAAGCCGTGCATCCAACACAGAGATGTGTGCATAAGCAGGGCATATTCTATAGAGTGCTAAACTTGATCATCAAATAAACCAACAGATCAATGAATTGAAGACAGCGAATATATGTTGATAATAACAATCATTCCAGTCCAAATCCATCCATCAAAAAGTCAAATGACTCAGATCGTAAAGAATATAAATCAACTCGAGCTTCGAATTCCAGATTTATATCAGATCAGCTATAAATCAATCAAATTCACTCTTGCCGCAAAAAAAAAAAAAAAAAAAAAAAGCTTAAGATCTTTCAAGCCATCATAAGCGCAAAACATGGTTATCTCCGCATCATACATACAGACCCATGAAATTTTCCACACGCAATATACATTGTCAATGATCAAACACCATAAAACTGAAGCTCATCACATTATCATCCAAAAAGTCGACGCCTTTATACGCCTATCAACATGCATTTTCAGATATCACACGTTTGGATCAAAACCCATCAACGAAAACGTAGAGGGTTTCCATAATTTCAAAGAAAGACATGAAATTTCGAAAGAAAAAAAAAACACGAAAACGAAAAAGCTTACTCAGAAAATCCGTGTCCTCGAGACCCTTGGCATTGACAAGAAGAACTTCCAGAGTTCCGTGCGGCATTTTTTTTTTCTCAGAGAAGAGAAAATGCGAAGAACAGATCCCGAGAGTGAGGGAGCTTTGTCCGATCACTCGTATCTGTCAGAAGAGAGTCTTTTCCCGGAGAAAGCATTTTCCAGGACGATATATATTCACATTCAGACACGGTGTGGAGCGTGTTGTTGACGTGGCTCCCGCATCTGGGGAAGGTGAATTCAGTCGTGGAAGAATCTTTTTTTTTGTTAATAATATATTATTTACCAAATTTAGAATTTGTAATAATAGCTACAACAGTCAATGAGGTCCAATTTCAGCCAGTTTGTTCAAAGAATAAACTGAATGTCGGTTACGAATTAAAATTTAAAATTTATCACATATAACAATTTTTTTTATACATCAAAGTGGATACTGGACAAAAAGAAAATTCAACGATATGAACTATGAAGGCGATAAGATTTAGCCAATACAAAAAAAAATGGAATGAGAAAATATCAATTTTATCTTGCCCCTATATATATTGTACCAAAAAAATGATTCAGTTCGTATATTCAAATAGTCCATTTTAGTAATAACCAGGCAAGAACAGTTCATCTTGTTTTCCATTTCTTTTTCCTTTTTTGGAATTTTCTTTTTTCAAAATTATATTGTTTATGCTAAAGGACACGTTGTTATTTGTTCCGAAATATTAAAATGGTTATTGTTAATTAGTAAAATGATTTGTCACGTAATGGGGCATAAACCGTTCAAGATGAGCAATGATAAATGGGCTTTAAACGGACAACCCATCTTATGAAAACAAGTTTTTACACCGATTATCCTTTTGGAGAATCGCACACGCAGAATAGGCACGTGGATACCACGAGATTGAATTTCGCCCAATGATTTTGAAGGCGCGTGGAGATCTGTATTTAAGTTTGATTTATAAGAAAATTTGAGAGAGAGTGTGAGCTTTGCTTGATAGAGATAAGAGGACAATCAAGGAGCATATTGAGAGTAAATTTATGCATCTATATTCGGAATGAAAAGGAATATAACTAAACCGGCCGTAATTAAAATTATTTTTTTAACAGGCTTCAAAATATTTCAATCAAATAGTTACATGCATATTACAACATAAATAATAATAATAATAAAGGAATCCACACAATGAATGGTATATCATTGTGGACATTTAGTTATCACATCCATAAAATGAATCCCAAACTCTAAAGTTATTGTTTTCTGAAGTAAATAGAAGAGAGAGTTTTGAACCAACGGGGAAATACGCTAATGGAATCGGAGGGTTGTTCTTTCTCTTCCCATTCATCGTTGACGGCCGATTTGTGATCATCGGAAGATTCTAGAATCTTCTTTGATCTTCTTCTATAAGCTTCTGTCCCTTCTTCGCATGCTATTTTTGATGAACCATAGAAGTAACCCATCAATAAGCTTGAAAAAAGAGCCATTTGATAAACAAATCCTCACAAAAAAAAGATTAATATTAGAAAAGTTATAAGCGTTTTATTGTTGAATTAAAAGGAGATTAGCTTCTTAGCAAATTCTAAGAAAGTATTGTGTGTGCCTTTATGTGTATATATTTTGAAAAATTCAACAATAAAAGGCTTATGGATTTTCTAATATTAATCAATTTATTTATTTATCGGAAATTTCAACATCAGTCAAAATATAGTCAAGCAACCAACATGTAACAAAATTAGATCCCATCATTTTATAATTTTAGTGTCTGGGACAAAAATATAGATGATGTTTTAGCGTTAGATACACATATTAAAAAAATATATTTTGTGTAAAATATCCTTATTAATTATTCTTCTTAAATGATAGAATGTATTATCATTATCTTTCCCGATAAATCAATAATTTAATTCATCTATTTCCCGTAAACTATAAAAATTAACATTATTTTGTGTTTTCAATATTTAAAAACAAAAATCAAATTTGGAGCTAATTATATACGATTAATTTATTTAAAATTTTTGAATTGAGCCAAAACAATAAAACTACAAACATCAAATGTCTAAATATTGGATTAGAATAATTACAAACAAACAAACTTTCTTCATAACTTCTTATGATATTGGTTTAAATTTTCCGATTGTAAGAGAGTTTTTATTTGACTTAAACAAAACTTCAACAAATTCTAAAAATTTTGATGGCTTTCGTGAAGAAAGAGGAGATATTTTTTTCTACAAATTCTGGTAAGTTGGTTTTTTTATATTATCTTGATTAATGTTTTTATTGACATTTGATATATTGTGATACATCCTAAGTTATATAAGATGTAATTATGAAAAATATAAAAATATGTAGAATTATTATACATGCAGAATATTTGATAAGAGGTAAATTTGGAAAAAACAAATATTAAAAATACATTGGAAATATAAAAACGTCATTTGGTTTTTTATAAAGGTTGTTGTTGTATTACTAAATGGAAGCGTTTTGTGTATAATTACTCTAATTTGTTATTTTTTAAAATAAATATATAGTGATTAAAAATTATGATCTAAAAATTATAATTGTTATAATATAAAAGATTATTCATTTTAGCAAAATTTAATCTTTTTAATTTTAAAATTTATAATTGTTTTCTAATTTGATCTATTTATGTTTGATATTAGCGTTTCACTCCTCTGAATGATGAGTGGCCAACAATAAATAAACGTTGATAACAAACATAAATAGATCAAATTAGCATGGACTTGAATATATATGTACCAATGCAAACGCTCATATCAAACATATATATATCTTAGTGCTAACAGAAGATGACGAAGCCTTGGTTTTCTTTGATGGAGTCGAGTGCTTAGATTTCCCTTTTCCACACCTATGTCAGCACCTATGGGATCCATCTCAAAGCTACTGTCGTTTCGAATATCAAAAATCAAATTGGCAAGATATGAACATGTTAGACACACATGTGCATAATTAGAACAAACAAATATAGTTGTAAATTTGTACTCACTCAACATCGTGATCCGAAAGAAAGGCGGTAGCATCTCCCTCCCCACTCATATCCTTTGGTCAATGAACAATAAATATGAAAGCAAAAATGTGTATACATATTACTTGTACTTATACTTAACGATCTCAGAAAACTTCCGAGCATACATAGAACGCTTTTAAAGAGTAAATAAAAACAAGCAGATTAAAGATCAAATTTTCAGCAGATTAACCATAGATAATGAACTGTATATCGCTAGATGCTACAAACTTACATCCGGATAGTCATCGAAATTAATGAAAAAACATGAAATATATTTTTTTAAGAAGCAGGGCAATCAATGGATAAAATCAAATATTTTAAAAGAAAAGATTCATAATTTTTTTTAAAAAAAAAGGAATAAGAAACAAGATTGGACCATAGTTTCTCAAACATTATATCATGAAATGTCAGATGTGATCATTCTACTTATACGAAGTTTTCTATAACCATTAAACCAAATCATGACGATGATTTTACCTTGCCCCAAACATTCATTCCAACATCACATATGAGAATAAGGATACACAAAATTGAATTTTGTGGCCAAATAAAAATTACAGAGAGAACAACAGAACAATGTATCAGTAACTCAATGCTATGTTGTTGTTGTTCTTCTTCTTCTTCTTCTTCTTCTTCTTCTTTCTTCTCCTTCTTCTTCTTCTTTCTTCTTCTTCTTCTTCTTCTTCTTCTTCTTCTTCTTCTTCTTCTTCTTCTTCTTCTTCTTCTTCTTCTTCTTCTTCTTCTTCTTCTTCTTCTTCTTCTTCTTCTTCTTCTTCTTCTTCTTCTTCTTCTTCTTCTTCTTCTTCTTCTTCTTCTTCTTCTTCTTCTTCTTCTTCTTCTTCTTCTTCTTCTTCTTCTTCTTCTTCTTCTTCTTCTTCTTCTTCTTCTTCTTCTTCTTCTTCTTCTTCTTCTTCTTCTTCTTCTTCTTCTTCTTCTTCTTCTTCTTCTTCTTCTTCTTCTTCTTCTTCTTCTTCTTCTTCTTCTTCTTCTTCTTCTTCTTCTTCTTCTTCTTCTTCTTCTTCTTCTTCTTCTTCTTCTTCTTCTTCTTCTTCTTCTTCTTCTTCTTCTTCTTCTTCTTCTTCTTCTTCTTCTTCTTCTTCTTCTTCTTCTTCTTCTTCTTCTTCTTCTTCTTCTTCTTCTTCTTCTTCTTCTTCTTCTTCTTCTTCTTCTTCTTCTTCTTCTTCTTCTTCTTCTTCTAAGTTAGATGATGTTGTCTGGCTGTGTGTGCGCTATAAAAATTATAAAAAAGACAACACTGGAATAAAAACAAATGATAAAATTATGTAATCTAAACAAAACAACTTCTTCTTCTTCTTTCCTAAGTTAGATGATGTTGTCTGGCTGTGTGTGCAGTACAAAAATTATAAAAAAAGACAACATTAGAATAAAAATAAATGATAAAATTATGTAATCTAAACAAAACAACTTTTTCTTCTTCTTCTTCTTTCCTAAGTTAGATGATGTTGTCTGGCTGTGTGTGCGGTATAAAAATTATAAAAAAAGCAACACTGGAATAAAAACAAATGATAAAATTATGTAATATAAACAAAACAACTTATTCTTCTTCTTCTTCTTCTTCTTCTTCTTCTTTCCTAAGTTAGATGATGTTGTCTTGCTGTGTATGAGGTATAAAAATTATAAAAAAGACAATACTGGAATAAAAACAAATGATAAAATTATGTAATCTAAACAAAACAACTTCTTCTTCTTCTTCTTCTTCTTCTTCTTCTTCTTCTTCTTCTTCTTCTTCTTCTTCTTCTTCTTCTTCTTCTTCTTCTTCTTCTTCTTCTTCTTCTTCTTCTTCTTCTTCTTCTTCTTCTTCTTCTTCTTCTTCTTCTTCTTCTTCTTCTTCTTCTTCTTCTTCTTCTTCTTCTTCTTCTTCTTCTTCTTCTTCTTCTTCTTCTATTATAAAAGTTTATGTTTTTAAAAATATATTCTAAAGATGATTGTATATTCAACATTAGTCGTATATTCAATGTTTTTAAAAATATATTCTAAAGATGATTGTATATTAAGAAGAAGAAGAAGAAGAAGAAGAAGAAGAAAGAAGAAGAAGAAGGAGAAGAAAGAAGAAGAAGAAGAAGAAGAAGAAGAAGAACAACAACAACAACAAA